GACTCGTATAGAAAAAAATATTTTAAGTAATAATTTAATTACACACATGAAATCAAAATAATTATATTTAAAAACAAAAAAAAATTTGTGAAATCAACACCTGACCACACTGAGTCAATCCTTCAAATGATGAAATTAATAAACTTTATTTTTTATAAACAAAGTAGAGAAAATTCAAGCAACAACATGGGGTGCCACATAGCAGGTGCGTTTGAGATGATATTATCAATATGAGAAGCATTCATGATGGTTTTTATTAGGGCTACTAAAAGCTCTCAGCTGCCTTTGCCTTGCAATTGTTTTAAATTTCTTTTTCTATACCTATTATATATTTAAGACAATATTTTTACTTCTTTACTTTACAAATCATAATCATAATTCAGCTAATTTTTTTTATTGATTTCAAAAAATTTATATACTGAAAAGCTAATTTTTTAATAACTTTTAAAAAACTATTTTTTCTACAGCAATTAAAAATCAACTTTATAAAAAACTATAATCATCTCGAACAGATTCTTAGTATAAGTTGTATTTTTCACCCTTTAATTCTAAAAATAATTTGGAATAAAAATTATATTATAAGACCAATAAAACTATCAAATTAAAGGAATCAATAAAAAAGATATCCGAGAAGAATTTAATATCACAAATTAGAATCACTCACTCGAGAGATTATTAGGTGCGGAATGCGGATGGGAAGAACCGTCCATACAAGCACTATACCCAGCTAGATACCGGCACTCGATACCGCTGGGTACCGCTAGGTACCATTAGGTACCCAATATTTATCCCGGGCTATTAATAATTCTCTAATTCTCGAGCATAAAATAGAAAGCTCAAAAGAGTCCCAGCAGTGAGCGAAGCAAACGGTTAAGCAAGCGAAGAGTTAGAAGAAGTGAAAAAGTGCTTCAATTAGAATTTATGATTTTAAAAAAAGTTTTTTTTTATTACTCGTTGGGTAAGAATTTTTACATAGAGGTTTAGTTTATGATAACTTTCTTAGTATTTTTTTTTTAATTTCAGTACAAAATTTTTACTCCAAAAACTTTTCATATTAAAAAATTGATTTAAAAAAGACTAAAAAAGTTTTTTTAATGACAGAGTTAGATGCTTATCGTAAAGTTCTAAAACTCAAATTTTCTGATAGCTTCAATTCCATCATAAGATATATATTCTTTTTAATGACAATAATATGTTTTAAAATTTATACTCCACTCAATTATTATCTTTTTATTTTTTAATTTTTGAGCTAACGAAGATATATTCATACATACGTCACATACATAAATATCCATCGAGGCTTAGGATGGTTGGTGGCGAGCACAGTTGGGAACCCCCCATCCCGGATTCAAATCTCCTCTACTACGGCCTCGCCTCTTCAGTGAGGGCAAAGCAAGTGTGGATGCGATGTTGGTGGGTGGCACCGCTAGGTTCTATCGAGGGATTAGTTACGCCGTCAAGTGCTCCCTTTGAAATGACAACGGGTAAATGCCAATGTGTTTGCCAAAAAAAATAAATATTAATATTAATAGTTCAAACCTCTCAACCTGAAGAGAGATTATTCTGTTGGCAGACACACGAATCGTCCGGAGACAATGGGTATGCTTCAGCATCCTGTAACAACATATATATAGCCAAACTAACCGTTTGCGCTCTCCGCATTCATCCTCAAGAACTGATGTTTTTTTCGAATAATAATGCTTTGACAGACTAGGATAATCGGATAAATCAAATTATATTAAAATTATATAATAATTAATACACTCTCTAATACGTCATTAGCACGTTTAATAATTTATAATGCTCCTTTTCTTGATTTACTATGCCATTTCCCATCAATTCATGGCCCCCCACTAATCATCGCTTTCTATGGCCGTTTAATAGCAAACTGCAAAAAACGCAATCAATATTGCGATTCGCAACAACAATTAGTTCCATCACTTAAGAACCAATCTCGAATAACAATACCTGACACTAGTAACATGTCCAAATAGAATAATCACTCGTCCACATGGTGAATAATTCGCACAGTCTTGCCAACTCAATAGTAACTCTTTTCCCCCATTCGCCATCCAATTATCTCACTTAACCTCCGCTAGATGCGCTACGTGGTCTCAATCCTCACCAATAAGCTCAAAACCAGATAGATTGTTGGCTCAATAGAGATCCCAAAAAAACCAGTCTAAAAAATGTTTTGCAATGGATATCCAATTAGAGAATTTCTCCACTAGATGGAAAATACTTATTTCTAGTTGTGCACTCAGGATTTAGATTGATGCCTTCATAGGTAATTCCTCCATCCGAATACAATGTTGTTTCAACGCTCAATAGGTATTGGCCACCAGATATCTTCTCTCCCTCCTGCTTCCGTTTCTGCACACCAGAGCGCGATCACCTCAGCAATATCACATCTCACACCGGATCCCCGGCGAGAGACAGAGTTTTGCTTGCTCGCAGCTCTCGCCGCTTACTAGATCATCAACCAAGACTCGTTTAGGTCACACTCTGTTCTCTTGCTCGTTCTGTGGCACTTTCTCTTGCCTATACGTTCCTCTCGTTGCCTAATCACCTTGTCTACTCTTGCAGTCCAGTATGTGTAACTCTAGATAACCTCCTACATACGCAGAAATCCCTTGTTCTCATGCGTGTCGGCGTGCTCGTACCATCCCTAACTCTGGCTTCTCAGCCAAAGACGGTACTCTAAAAATTCTTCGAATCGTACTAGGCCAGTCCATGTCCTGGATCGTGCCGCCTCAGGCTACTTCCGTTTTATCTTCCCGCCTCGCTCTCCATACCGTCGTCTGCTTGAACCTCTACCTCACAGGAAAAA